GTTCCAGGTACAAATAGTCAGAACATCAGTCATGACCAGCTGATCATCCTAGTAACAACCGTAATTCATGGAGAGTCTCCTACTGGCTCAGCCCCTGAACTTGGGAGGGAGCTGTGACTGGCAAAATAATGTCTACTACCCTCCAAATAGGTATGTGTACTAATCCCTGGAACCTGTGAATGTGTCACCTTACATAGAAAATGGGCTTTAACTCACGCACCTATGGTCAATTAATCTACGACAAAGGAGGCAAGAATATACAATGGAGAAAAGACAGTCTTTTCAGTAAGTGGTGCTGGGAAAACTGAACAGCTACATGTAAAAGAATGAAATTAGAACATTCCTTAACACCATACACAAAAATAAACTCACAATGGATTAAAGACCTAAATGTAAGACTGGATACTATAAAATTCCTAGAGGAAAGCATAGGGAGGACACTCTATGACATAAATTGCAGCAATGTCTTTTTGGACCACTCTCCTAGGATAATGGAAATAAAAATTAAAATAAGGAAATGGGACCTAATTAAACTTAAAAGCTTTTGCACAGCAAAGGGAACCATAAGCAAAATGAAAAGACAACCTACAGAATGGGAGAACATACTTGCAAACGATGCAACCGACAAGGGATTAATCTCCAAAATATACAAACAACTCATACAGCTCAATATCCACAAACAACCTAATCATAGAAAAGGGGCTTTGCAGATATGATCTTGAGATGGGAGATGATCCTGGATTACCCAGAGGGGGCCCAATGCTGTTACGAGATCCTTACACGATGGAAGCAGGAAGGTCAGAGTCAGAGAGGGCGATGGGGTAATGGAGGCAGAGGTCAGAGTGATGCAGGATGAGAAACATTCAGCCAGCCATTGCTGGCTTTGAAGGTGGAGGAAGGGGCCACAAGTCAAGAAATGCAAGTGGCCTCTCGAAGTTGGAAAAGGCCAGGAAACAGGTTCTCCCTCAGAGCCTCCAGAAAGGAACTCAGCCCAGCTGACCTTGGTTTCAGCCCAGTGGAACCCATTTCAGACTTCTGACCTCCAGAATTGTAAGATAATAAATGCGTGTTGGTTTAAGCCACCAAGTTTATGGTAATCAGTTACAGAAACAGTAGGGAACTCATGAAGGAGCCAAAGCTTGGAAAAGCCAGGTCTCTTCCTCTCAAATCTAGGAATTGGAAGAAATGGGAATTCGAGCCAGGTGGTCTGACTCCAGGCCTATGTCCTTCACTGCCTCACCATGCTGAAAATATCTTCCCTGGTGTTATGGATTGAACTGTGGCCCCCTCCCTTCCGAATTCGTATGTTGAAGTTCTAATCCCCATGCAGTGAACTGAAGGTTTGTGTCCCCCCCACAATCCAGTTCATACACTGAAATTGTAACCCCTAATGTGATGGTATCAGATGGGGCCTTTGGGAGGGAATTAGGTCATGACAGTGGAGCCCTCATGAATGGGATTAGTGCCCTTATAAGAGAGACCCCAGAGAGCTCTCCTGTCCACTTTCCACCAAGTCAGCAGTCTGTAACCCAGAAAAGGGCCTTCTCCAGAACCCTTATCTTGGACTTCTGGCCTGCAGAAGTGCAAGAAATAAATTTCCGTTGTTTATATTACTTTACAGTAAGAAGGAACAAGGTACTGATCCATGTTGCAATATGGATGAACCTCAACAAGTTGCTAAGTGATAGAAGCCAGATATAAAAGATTATATTTTATATGATTCTGCTTATATGAAATACCCCCGCAAAAGACAAATTTGTAGAGGAAAGCAGGGTCGGTGGCAGGTGTGGCAGGGTTGGGGGAGAGAGAAGCGGCTGCAATGAGCTTGAGGGAATTTGGGGGGGGTGATGAAAATGTTCTAAAACTTGATTGCAGTGATGGTTGTACAGCTCTAGACTTTTTTTTTTTTTTTTTTGCGGCTGCGCTGGGTCTTCGTTGTGGCATGTGGGATTTTTCATTGAGGCGCACGGGCTCTTCACTGCGGTGCGTGGGCTTCTTTCTAGTTGTGGCATGCGGGGCTTCTCTCTCTAGTTGTGGAATGGGCTTAGTTGCCCCGCGGCATGTGGGATCTTAGTTCCCCGACCAGAGATCGAACCCTCATCCCCTACACTGGAAGGCGGATTCTTTACCACTGGCCCACCAGGGAAGTTCCTATGGTACTTTGTTATAGCAGCTTGAATGGACTAAACACCCCCAGTAACTCAGAATGTGAGTGCTTTTAGAGCACCTTTTAGAGAAAGGAGCTTTAAAGAGGCAATTCAGTTAAAATGAGGTCAGTGGGGTGGGCCCTAATTCAAGTGACTGGTGTCAGAAGAAGAGATCAGGACACAGACACACACAGAGGGGGACCATGTGAGGACACAGGGAGAAGACAGCCATCTACAAGCCAAGGAGAGAAGGTTCAAAAGGAACCAACCCTGCTGACACCTTGGTCTCTGACTTCTAATTCTCCAAAACTGTGAGAGATGTCTGTTGTTTAAGCCCATCAGTCTGGGGTACTTTGTTATGGCAGCCCCAGCAAAGCCACATACCTGGGGACTCTGGGAAGCTGCACCCCATCTCCGGCCTAACCTGAGCCCCCCAGAAGAGTAGCACCCCCCAAAGCCACAGAGGCACCAGAATTAGGATGCTAGACCCATCCCAGCTGGTTCAAATCACGAGCTATTTCGAGGTGAGGCGGGGACTTCAGAGGACCATCTAGAGTCAGGACATACATGGGCCGCAGGGCTGTGCTTCACTGTCACATCCTCTCTGGACAACTTCACCCACCCACACGGCACCAGTCTCCACCGCTGTCCTGACACCTCCAGACGTGTTCCCGGCACAAATCTCTCTTCGGTTCCCATCCCAAATGTCCAGAGCCCCTGCTGTCTCCCCTGGATTGTTCCTCTGGCTCCCCAAACTCAACATGCTCAAAGCAGAGCCCAGCATCAGTGTCCCCTTCTCCTGGTCCTTTCCCCTCACCCTCATCTCAGTCAAGATGCCCTTCCCTGTGGAAGAAGGAACCCCCTATACTGCTGGTGGGAATGTGAATTGGTGCACCCACCATGGAAAACGGTATGGAGATTCCTTAAGAAACTAAAAATAGAACTACCATATGATCCAGCAATCCCACTCTTGGGCATATATCTGGAGAAAACCGTAATTCGAAAAGATACATGCACCCCAATATTCACTGCAGCACTATTTACAATAGCCAAGATACGGAAACAACCTAAATGTCCATCGACAGATGAATGGATAAAGAAGATGTGATATATATACACAATGGAATATTACTCAGCCATAAAAAAGAATGAAATAAAGCCATTTTCGGTAACATGGATGGACCTAGAGATTATCATACTAAGTGAAGTAAGGCAGACAGAGAAAGACAAATATCATATGATATCGTTTATATGTGGAATCTAAAAAAAATGGTACAAATGAACTTATTTGCAAAACAGAGACAGACTCCACGGACATAGAAAAGAAATGTACGGTTACCAAAGGGGAAAGGTGGGGAGGGATAAATTAGGAGGTTAGGATTAACATATACACTGTTATATATAAAATAGATAGTCAACAAGGACCTACTGTATAGCACAAGAAACTCTACTCAGTATCTTGTAGTAATCTATAAGGGAAAAGAGTCTGAAAAAGAATATATGTATATACATATATATGTGTGTATGTGTGTATGTGTGTGTGTGTGTGTGTGTGTATAACTGAATCACTTTGCTGTACACCTGAAAATAACACAACATTGTAAACCAACTATACTTCAATTTAAAAAAAAAAGAAAAGGGAATTCCCTGGCAGTTCAGTGGTTAGGACTCCGTGCTTTCACTGCAGGGGTCTGGGTTCGATCCCTGGTTGGGGAACTAAGATCCCACAAGCCGTGCGGCATGGCCAAAAAAAATTTTTTTAATTGAAAATAAATAGATGTAAATTGTTTTAAAAAGATGCCCCTCCCTGGTCACCTATGCCAAGGTCCCTTCATCCTCCTTGGCATCCCCTGCCCCGAGCTCCCACCGAGCATTAATCTCTAAGTTCTGCCAAATTTTCTTGTACACATTTCTTGGGTGTTGTCCCCTCCCCACCATCTCTGTGTCCACTGTCCTAATTTCGGCCTTGTCATCTCTCCCTGGTCTCTGGCCCCCTGCCTCCGCCTCCTCCAATCCATCCGCTTCCAGAAACAGATCTGACCGTTCTCTCCTTTGCTTGAAAACTACCCACGTGCATTGCAGGTGGGAACATAAAGTGGTGTAGCTGCTGTGGAAAAGAGTTTAGCACTTCCTCAAAAAGTTGAACATAGAATTACCATATGTCCAGTCAATCCACTTCTGGGTATCTACCTAAAGGATTGGAAAGCAGGGGTATTCGTACACCTGTTTTCAGAGCAGCACAATTCACAACAGCCCCAACGTGGAAGCAACCCAAACGTCCACTGACGGGTAAATGGATAAATACGATGTGGTCCATCCATACAAGGGAATACTATGTAGGCTTTAAAAAGGAAGGAAATTCTGACACATGCTACAACACGGAGAAACCTTGAGGACATTCTGCTCAGTGAAATAAGCCAGACACAAAAGGACAAATAATATATGATTCCACTCACGTGAGGTCCACAGACAAGTCAAATTCCTAGGGACAGAAAGTAGAGTGGTGGGGGCCGGGGGCTGGGGGAGGGGAGTAGGGAGCGAGTTTCAGTTTGGGAAGGTGAGACACTTCTGGGGATGGATGGTTGCACAATGTGAATCTATCTGGTGCCACTGAACCGTACACTTAAAAAGGGGTAAAGTGATAAATTTTATGCCATATATATACATACCTATGTGTGTGGGCCTACAGGTGAATTTGGGGATGGCCACTCCCAGTGGGGGAAGCTCAGCCCGAGGCTGGGAGCACAGGTCATGGTGACAAGCTCAAGGCCGTTTCCGGCCCCAGCCCTGGCCATCCTGAGCATGGAAGGTGGGGCGAGGTGCCCCCTGAACCCAAAGATGACATACGGCCGCTTCCGAGAGGGGCAGGTTTATTGGTGTGACTGATCAAGGGTCATCAGTGCAGTGCTGGCCCTCCCCCGGGGGACAAACCAGCCCAGTGTGTGGACCCTGGGGGCTGGGGGTCAAGGGGGACCCCGGAGGGTCACAGGCATAGCAGCAGGCAGAGGGGCAGTGAGCCGCCTCCAGAGGGCCCACCCTAGTCCAGCCCAAGGGGGGACCCCTCTCGAGGTCCTCAGGCATCCGCAGATCTGGGGGCGTCCTGCGGCAGACAGCTCCGGTGCCGGAGGATCGGCTTCCCCTCCTCCTGCAGGGATAGGGGCAACCCCGCACGTGACACACAGCCCGGGACACCGGCGCAGTCAGCCGGGTCTCCCCACCTTGTGGGGGGCCCGAACCGCCCACTCTCACCATCTCGGAGGCAGTGCTGGGGCTCGCGCCCTCTGGAGAGCCCCCTTCGTCCCGCGAGCAGTCTGGCCCCACGTCCTCCTCGTACTCAGTCAGGCAGTCCGACTCCTCCCCTGGAATGGCAGTGGGTGAAGTTGAGGGCGCTCGGGCTGGGCTGACCTCTCCAGCCACCAGTACACCGACCCCGGGCTCCTGGGGATGCCCTCAGCCCCCTCACCATCTGCGCAGCCGTCGGAAACAGAAACATAGCTCGTGGGGGGCTCGATCCGGGACACGATCTCCGCCAAGTCGGTGAAGCCGGAGCTGGGGAAGGCAAGTACCTGCGGAGAGGAGTGGGTGAGGCTCTCGGGGTCGTCTGAGGTCTGGGGGAGACCTAGAGGGGACTGGGGACGGGGGATGTGTCGTCAGAGTGGCCCCGCCAGAGAAGGAGGGCGCAGGCTTACGTCTGCACGGCGGCTCTCATTAAGATCTGCAGACCGTCGGTCCGTGAGCATCTTTTCAATGATGTCGCCCCGGCTCCAGCCCCCAAACACGGCCTTCCCGTACTGGTAGCCCACATCCTGCAGGAAACGAGGGGGGCTGGGGCCACGTCTGCAATCCCTGGGGGTGTTCTTCTCTGCCTCATCTTCTCTGCTTATCCCCACCCTGCCTGCCCCTGCCCTGGCCCCTCAAAAGCCTGATGCTCTGGCGGAGATGGCATTTGAGACTACACTGATTTCAGAGTCGGCCACACGTAGCACACTCACCCCCATGTCCCCTATCCTGTGCCCCTGCCAGACATTACCAATCGCTCTTTGCACATGCTTTCCCACTCAGCCCCATGCAGCGTGCCAGGTACCAAATGATTCGAGATGGCGGCGTGCAAGCTTATTTCAAGGTCTGCAAATATGCGGTACACCCGTAAATATCATCATCTCCCATGCCCATAACAGACATCACTAATCCAGCATGGCATGCCTTCCCAGTGAGCCCAGAAGGGGAGTCAGACATTTTTACTCAGGGCTCTGGGCAGTAGCTACTGATCACATTCTTTTCTTTCTTTCTTTCTCTTTTTGGCCACACCGTGCGGCATGCGGGATCTTAGTTCCCTGACCAGGGATCGAACCCATGACCCCTGCAGGGGAAGCATGGAGTCCTAACCACCGGACCACCAGGGAAGTCCCAGCTACTGATCATTTTCAGTTGGCATGGGCTATGACACATTTTTCTGGGTCAGTGGCACATTATACAGTGCTCCATCCAGTGTATCCCAGACTTGGCATCGGACGTTACTAATTTTTCGTGGTTCTCATTCCCACCTACACAGAAACGGCATTGGAAATCTCTACAGCGTGCTTCAGGCAGTGCCGCTGGCACATATTAAGAAACTTAGTTCGCACATACACATGTACCTCCCCTTGCCACACTCACGGCAGACATCACTAATTGATTACCGTTCTATTCCCCATGGATCCCAAATGCAGCCCTAGAATCCTTCCCTTCGTGTTGCTCTGGGCTTTCAGTATTAAAGCTCTGCCGGCCCACCATACTGGTACCAAGTGGCTCCCACCCGCTCACATAGATCTGGTCGAACTTCCCGAAGTCCATGGTCTTGAAGCAGTCGATGGGTGGGCGCAGGTACTCGCAGTACGAGCTGGACTTCACGACCTCCAGCTGCCGCACGCAGGACACATAGGCCAGGCGAGACTGGATCTCGGCCATGTCTGGAACCTTGATCTTGTCTGCCCAGGGGTTCAGCCGCTTCCACAGCAGCCACCAGCCAGAGAGGCTGTCCCCGTAGGTGCTAAGGTCCGTCTCATCCTGGCTTCCCACGTCGATGGCGATGACCGTCTTGGCACCCATGCTGCGAGCAATGTCCGCTGTGGGGCATGGGGGTCAGGGGGCTGTTCTCCACCAGGACTGAGGCAGGGAAGTTCAACGCAGCCCCGCAAACACCATCACGCACGTGGTCACGCAAAAAAAAAAAAAAAAAAAAAACCATACGAACAACACGTAGGCGTGCAAAGGGTATGGCTGTAGAGGCCGATGATGTGGAGGAGGGAACGGGTGTTGGAGCTTCTAGGTCTGGGGAACCAGGGCCAGAGGAATGGAGAAGATGGAGGCAGAGGGATAAAGTCACTGGGGAAAGAGACCCAAGGTCAGACACATGGGGGAGAGAGATATGGAAGGAGAGTAACACGGAGAGACAGACTACAGTCAGGACACCAGGAGGCAGAGATGAAGGGATCAGAGTCATGGAAACAGACAGAGGATCAGAGACGCAGCGAGATGTGGGAATAAAGACATCGGGAGACAGAGCCGCGGGGAGAGAAATGCAGGGGACCAGAGACAGCAACAGAGATTCGTGGGAGAGAGAGATATCAGGGGCCAGAGATATGGAAGGAGAGAGAATCCGGGCGGAAAGAGGGATCTTGAGACTGAGACAAGGGACACAGAGCAAAGAGCCGGATCAAGGAGATTCAGGCAGCGGGACGGATGGGGTGAAGGGTGGGGTGATGGCGCGGTGAGGAGGGTGCTGTAGCTATGGGTCTGGGTGCCCCACTGAGGGCCCCTGAGTGGGTCTGGGGGTGCCTGGGGGGACATGGACAGGGTCCTGTAGCCAGATCCAGTCCCCAAAGACACCTAAGTCTCCAGAAGACTTTGCCCGTGTCCCTCACAAGCTTGTCTGTGTCTCTGTGTGTGCTGTACGCACCCCTATCAGGTATGTGCATGTCCCATCTGTATGTTTGTGAACACACCCACCTCTGGGTGCGCTATGCCTCTGCACACACACCCAGGACTGTTTGTATTCCTTTCCCGTGTCCCTAGATCAATGTCTAAGTATGTTTCTTTGTGCGTCCAAGTGTGTCCGTCCACCTGTGAGCTTGTACACACTTGCTCACACGCATGAGGTTGTGTGAGTGCAAGTATCTGTACAGAACGCCTACGCAGGAGTTGGCAAGCTGTCTGTAAAAGGCCAGAGAAAAAATAATCTCGGCTTTGCAGGCCATATGGTCTCTGTTACAACTTCTCAACTCTGCTGCACAGACATAGCCACAGACAAAGGATAAACGATTAGGTGTGGCTGTGTGCCAATAAAACTTTATTTACAAAATCAGGCAGGGGGCCAGATTTGGCTTGTGGCGTGCAGTGTGCGGATCCCTGATCTATGGGACCTCAAGCGCCTGTGTAGCCAGCGTAGGTGTCTACTTGTGTTTGCACGCCACTGGGTGTGTGGAATTTTAAGTTGCAACCCCCCTGCCTCTCATCTGCATGCTTCAAGTGAGTGGGTGTGAAAGAAAGCTCGTCGTGGAGCTGCCCCACCCACCTGCATGTGTCCACGCTTGCCCTGTGTGTGTGCGTGTCAAATACAGCACATGGGCGCATCCTTCACCTGCACATATACATGCCTGCTATGAGCTTGCCCGCGTGTCTGTGCACGGGGACAAGCAGGTGGCTACTTGCCTGGCAGGTTGTTGATGTAGCCACCGTCCATGAGGAGGTGCCCATCCTTGGGGTCACACAGTGGCGGCAGGTATCCCGAGAGTGTCATGCTGGCACGCACGTATCGCCACAGGGAGCCTGCCCGGCGAGACACACAGACACAGACACGCACACTCAGACACACTTGGAGGCCCGGCCAGCCCGGTGGGCTCGCTGACCCGGCACACTGTTGATGTAGCACCCGTCCACCAGCAGGTGCCCGTCCCTGGGGTCGCAAGGCGGGGGCAGGTAGGGGCAGTAGCAGGCAGTGGCCCAGATGTAGCGCCACACGCAGCCTGTGGGGACTGGTGTGAGGGGGTGAGGCGCCCAACTAGTCTCTCGGCCTCCTGCCCACGAGGACAGACATACCTGGGGCCTCTGGGGCATCAGTGGGTGACGATTAGTGCTCAGCACTCAGGCCAGGAGAGATGGTCACTCATGTTAACAATGTCTCAGATGCTCGGCTGCCCCTCCCCCGCACCCATTCCCCACACGGCTACAGTGGTTTTGGTGGGGCTGGCTGGGGTACCCACCATCTTTGTGGACACGCATGGCTGAGGCGGTGATGTCCGTGGTCACGTTGAAGTACGGCAGCCACAGGTCCTACAGGGACAGGGACTGCGGTCCAGGAGGAGTGGGGACTCCTGTGGGGAGGGGCAGGGGAGGGGCAGGCATGGGGGAAGAGTGCACCTCGATCTGCTTGTCCTGGAAGACACGGTGGATGCTGCGGTTGAAGGCCGACCCCGTGAACATGGAGGTGACGGGGTAGGTGAGGTCCAGCACGGGCTCCAGAACTGAAGTCATGCTCTAGGGGGCAATGGACCAGCGGGGGGTCAAACAGGAGTCACTTGGGGGTCACTGACTAGGCAGTCCCTAAGGGGCCTGACTTCTCCAGCTGGGAGCTGGAGACTAGGGTCACTAGCCAGAAAGTCACGCGGCGGGGGGTCATCCAAGGTCCTGGAGGTATCTCTATAAAGGATCCAGGTGGGGTTCACAGATTAAGACGGGGAGGGGCAGGAGAAACCCAGAAGCCCGTCTAGGGTGAGGTTTCAGGGTGCTCCTGGGGTGGGGGGGATCCCCTCCCCGCAACACACACCTTGGCCCACTCCCGGGCCCGCTGCTTAGTGCGGCTGGCGCTCCGCTCCTCGGCGTACAGGGCCCCGATGAAGGAGCCGATGGACGTGCCGCCCACCAGGTCGACAGGGACCCCCGCCTCCTCTAATGCCTTCAGCACTCCGATGTGTGAGCAGCCTCTGCAAGGTGGAGACCCAGTGACCCTCTGGAGATCCCCTAAACCCCACCCGCAGGAATCTTATCCCTTCTCCCTCACCTGCTAGGAAGGTGGTGCCGGCCCGCCCCTATGGGATCGCGCCCAGGGAATCAGCTCTACCCCTCAGGACCCCTGGCCCCGCCCCTGTCAGCGCTGACCCCGCCCCTCACCTGGCCCCGCCCCCGCCCAGCACCAAGGCGATGGTGTTGCCTGTGAGCACCCGCGCCAGGCGGGAGAAGTCGCTGTGCCGGTCAGCGCGCCTCGAGAAAACCTTCTCGTAGAGCTCGTGCTGATGTGAAAAGAGAGAGACGCGGCCCATGAGGATGCGGGTGTAGGAGGCGGCGTCTGGACCTCCAAGGCACTGCTCCGGCCCCGCTGGCCTCTAGGCCGCGCCCCTCCATTGGCCACGCCCCTGAAAGGTCCTGAGAGCCGACCAGTTCCCTGCAGGGCCCCTCACCAGCTTGGCGGGGCTGCGGCGCGAGAAGAGGCGGCGCGGACAGCGCAGATGCAGGTGCCCCGAGCACCAGCTGCGCATGTTGAGCCACTCCACTGTGCGCGTGGGACCCGGACCCTCCTCGCGGTGCAGCAGGACCAGCTGCTTGAGGGCGCGCACCGCCGTGTTCTCCAGCATCTGCTCCAGCTTTGGGGGGGTGGTTGGGGGAGAAGGGGGAAGCACGGAAGTCACTCTCACCCGTGGTTTCCTCCCTGCCCCTCCCACACCTGGCCCCGTAGTTCCTCCTCGCCTAGCCCCACCGGTGAGGGTGCGCGTGGCCCGGCGCAGGCACCGGAGGGCAGGGGGCAGGATCCCAGGGATGGGGTCACTGTGAATGGTCTCCGGACCTGGCCAAGCGTGGGCTCCTGGTCGCCAAGGCCCACGATGAGGATGCAGTCGGCCTGGCGCAGGCAGCGCACGGTCCAGGGCGTCAGCGATGCGTCCGTCTGGTAAAGCACGATGCGGTGCGTGTCCTCCTGCTGGGCCAGCCACCCTGACAGCCGGAATTCTTGGATGCTAGGATGGGGGCGGGGGAGCGTCATCCTGGGGCTGGTCAGGGGTCCCTGCCCTCAGGGACCATGTAGCTCCATTGCTCTGGGGAGGGGGACCTGGACATCCAAGCCCCACACGCCTGCATCCTCCAGGGGCGGATTCACTACACTGTCTCCCCAGTGACCAGAGGAATGGGGGGCGCATGCTCCTTGTTTCACAGCCTAGACCTCAAATGAGATCTGAAAGAATCCTATGCTTTGAGCTTATCCCTCGCGCCCCACCCTAACCTCCTGCACCCCCAACACACACCTGTCCAGCGCAGAGGCCCCCAGGCGTGCCCGGATGATGTCACTGTTGAGGAGAAGTGTGGGGCCTGGGGATGGGTGAGGAAGGGTGTTTAGGAACCCAGGTCAACGGAGCTGGAGGACCCTCCTATAAGACAATACCACCCACTCCGTTCCCACAGCCCTGTTCCAGCCCCCCAGCCCCACCTCTGGCCCACCCAGGCGTCTCCATTCATTGGCCAATGCCCCCACCCACATGCGCCTTGCCCCATGTAGACGGAAAGCCTGCCCTCGCCCACGACTGACCAATGGCTTGCAAAGCATGCTGCAGCTCCAGCATGAAGGCCACCATGGGCACCTCGGCACACACGGGCAGCACTGCCACCGTTGCCAGGTTGCTGGCTGGGTTGGTGAGCTCCGAGTGAGGGGGAACACCTAGGCCCGAACCTGCTGAGACCCCAAAGGATGGTATTTGCTGTGCAGTCCTGTGTCTGGAAAGGTCAGCTCTCCTCTGCCTTCTCAGAAATCCCTGTTCCCTGTTCCTCAGCTGAGGCTTAGTGATGCTGTAGTGAAGGTCATGGCCTCAATCCTAGCTTCACAGCCTCAACCACTGTTCTTGATAAGACCTGCCTATCTGACCTTCAGTTTTGGCCCAATCTCCTCAGTGGCATCCATTACACAACTGTATAACCATTTCTGTTTTCCACTCCACCTGTGTGGACTGATCTGTGCCCCTACCCCATTCTGGCCTTGGGGCCTCTGTCCACTAAAGGGACTTGAACACAAAACTAGATGGAAATAAATATATTTTTGACGCACTGATTGCTTCTCAGCTTCTCTACTTACACTTTAGACCAAGCCATCAACCCCCATCTCTTGACCGGACTTCTCCCAGTCTCCTCTCCTCCAGTTCTTCGTATAACAGTCTGAACAAGATCAAATGCCTTTCGACAGCTCCTAGTCCCTGCAGGACTTGCGCCCCCTCCTCCCCCTCACTCACTTTCCTCCTTGAAGTGTTTCAACACCGCCAAACCCTGTGTGCAGAGCCTTCAGAGTTCTGTCAGCGTCTGGCCCCATCTCATTTATCACGTGTCAGCTCACTGATCTCAGAAAAGCCTCCCTCCCTCCTCTAGTCAAGACCCTATTTTGTTTTCTTCACAGTACATTATCCAACATTGTACTCTTTCTTTGTATCTTAAAAACTCTATCTTGCTTCTGAAGCTGTAAACCCTTCTAGGGGCTTTGTCTGTCTTGTGCGTTCTCCAGGTTCCCAGAGGTCTGAGATTTTAAAGTCCCTGCCCCCATATCTGCCCCAGAATCACACCAGGGGCGGTCCTGGCAGCCGGGTGGGAGAGAACATGTATTTGTGTACTTGGTGCAAGACTGGGGCAAAAGTCTATCGGGGAAGACCCTGGGCATAGGGGCAGTTCTTGGCCACGGCTCACCCCCACCCCTACCCTCAGGATCCAGGTGTCAGGGCTGATGGGGCAGAAGCCCCTGGGGGGAAAAGGAGAGTAGAGGTTGCCAGGCTGGTCCAGGGTCAGGTCACCATAACATAGAACCTCAGGTCCATATTTCTGCACATCTCGAATCTGACTCAATTTCCCAGTGTATCCTAGCTGACGGAAACCACATCTCCCAGCATGCCCTGGGAAGGGAACCACACCACCACCACCCCCAGCATGCACTGGGACAGGGGCCATCTCCCAGCATTCACCAGGACCAGGAACCACATCTCCCACCAGGCTGGTAACCTATGAAGCCACTTTCCAACATGCCCTGGGCCCCAAACACCACCCCACAGACTACATTTACCAGCACACTTTAGTCTAGGTTTCCCCTTCCTAGTATATGGACTCCATCCTCCAGCCAACCCTGACACCCAGAACCAAGCTTGCCCTAAAGACTCCTCCTGTCAGCACCACTGATACTGGTAACAAGCCGGCCCTGGGTCCAGGACTCCGTTTCCCAGCATGCCCAAGAACCAGAACTGCAGCCCACAGCATGCACCGGAACTCGGATTCCCACTTCCCACTTGAAGCCCCGCCCAGAGCAGGTTATACGCAGGACTCCACTTCCCAGCATGCCCTGGGTTCAATGGCTCCCTCTCCTAGCTCGTTCTGGGCGTTGGACTAGATCCCTTAGCATTCCCGGGCGCTGGCCAGCTCTCACCTGGGAAGGGTCCTTGCAGCTGCTGCAAATTCCCCAGAATTTTCTGGCTCAGCAGGTGGATGAGGCGGGTGACGACCTGGGGCGTTGGAGGCCGGCGGTCCAGTGAGACTGGAGGAGCAATTCTGCACCACCTTTTCCTCCTCTACCAGGGCGCCAGGGTCCCTGTTACCTGAGCCCCACCCCATGAGCCCCGCCCTCACTGGAGGCTTCACCTCCTTCCTAGGTCTCCACCCACATCTAACCCCCCTCTCCACACATTAGGCCCTGCCTTCTCTGGGTACCCGCCCCCACTCCCATCTGTCCAGCCCCCGTTAGGAGAACAGCCCACAACCCAGCGAGCTGCACCTGCGGATATCGACGTTTGATGTGGCCCAGGGTGCCCTCGGGGAGTTTGGCCAGCTCTGTGTCGCGCACCGCGTGCACCGTCGTGGCACGTGGCTGCCTGGTCAGCGCCTCCACCTAGGGGACAGCGTGCCTGACCAGGGCTGCGTGAGCCAGGAGCTTGATAGGTAAGGGAGAGGACGACCGTGGGTGCAGAGAGGAGGTCCTACCGAGTCCCCCCCACCCCGCCACAACCCCCAGATGGGGGTGGAGAGAACCAAGCCTCACTACCCATCTCGGGGCTCTGAGGAAAGGGAGAGGACAGGAGGACAGGGATCCACACCGGCGGGGGTCCCCTCTTCTGATGGAGAGAGGTCTGGAGACTGATTCAGATCAGAGTCACCACCCTGATGAGGTTGCCCCCATGGCCCCGCCCCATGGAAAGGAGCTGGGGAAAGTGGATTGCACGAGGTCATAGGTTGGGGAGGGAGCGTCCTCCACCCCCAACAGGTTACCCGGGATGAAGTGTATGTTGGGCGTGGGGGGAAACTGGACTGGGAGAGGTTAGAGGTCAGTGGGTGGGGCCGAGCTCACCACTCCTATGAGATCCCCGCGGCCGTACTCGCCCACCAACTCCTTCTTGCCGTTGCCACGCTGGATGACACTTCGCAGCCGCCCATTGAGCACGATGTAGGTGCAGTCGGAGCGGTCGCCCTGCCTGGGGTGGGGGTGGGAGGGGCGGGTCAGACAGGGTAGGGGTCCTCATAGGCAGGGCCTGAGGGGAGAGGTGGGGGCAGGGCCTGCACCTGTACAGTGCGCGTCCCGCCTCTACCGCTGTCCAGTCGATGGCGAAGTCCATCTGGCGCACGAAGGGCGACATCCTCGCGGCCACGGTCTGCGCAGCGCTCAGCACTACACTGGGCTGTGCACGCATGATCCTGTAGGCGTAGGGCAGGGCTGCATGGGCCGGGGGCGCCCTAGAACAGCCCTTAGGGAGTAGAGAGGGTGGGTGAAGGCCTGGCGGTGGGACAAGAAGGGCTCAAAGCTTCCCTGGAAAACTGTTGGCTGTTCAGAGGGATGGCCTCGTGCAGGGCAGAACAGAGTTGGTCGGGGCTGTCTGAGCGCCACCCCCACCCCAATGTCGGGCCCAGTCATACTCATAGAAGTCAGACTTGGAGATCCGCAGGAAGGTGCAATCACGCTGGGCCCGCAGCGTGAAGATGAGGGGCTCGCCGGTAAGCACGGCCAGCTGTCCCACCAGCTCCCCGGGCTGCACCACGAACAGGCACACGTCTTCGGCCTTGTCGATCATGCGCTGGTAGACGTGCAGGCAGCCCCAGAGCACGAAGTGCAGGCTCACATCCTGTAGGGCAAGGGCCAGGAGATGGGCACAGGGGCACCACCTCACCCACAACTCAGGTCAGTGCACTCCAGAGGAAAGGTTAAGGAAGGAAAAGTTGGAGGGAGTGAAGGCTTTCCATAGCACTGAGCTGAGCAGCATATGTATCTACTATATTCCCACTCAGCACCAGAGCAGACATTGCTAATGGATCGCCCAACTCAACCCAGATTAAGGCCCATGAATTCTTTTCAACACAGCCAGCAAGAGCCAACGAAGACTGGCTACACAGGAGCATGGCTGAGCTTAGAGCCTCTTTGCTTGTGCTGGGCAACTGCATAGCTACATGGAAAAGAATAAAGTTGGATTCTCACCTTATGCCATATTAAAATGGATCAAAGACATGAATCTGAGAGCTTAAACTATAAAACTCTTAGAAGATGGGACTCCCCTGGTGGCGCAGTGGTTAAAAATCTGCCTGCCAATGCAGGGGACAGGGGTTCGAGCCCTGGTCCGGTGAGATCCCACGTGCCGCCGAGCAACAAAGCCCGTGCACCACAACTACTGAGCCCGCGTGCCACAACTACTGAAGCCTGCGCGCCTAGAGCCTGTGTTCCGCAACAAGAGAAGCCACCACAATAAGAAGCCGGCGCACCACAACGAAGAGTAGCCCCCGCTCGCCACAACTAGAGAAAGCCCATGCGCAGCAACGAAGACCCAACACAGCCAAATACATACATACGTACATACATACATAAAACTCTTAGAAGAAAATATAGGGGTCAATCATGGTCACACTGAATTTGGCAACAGAATCTTGGATATGATACTAAGAGCCCAAGCAACAAAATGAAAAACAGATAAACTGGACTTCAACAAAATTAAAAACTTTTGAGTTTCAAAGGGCACTATCAAGGAAGTGAAAGGACAACACACCGTGTGGGAGAAAATATTTGCCAATCATATATCTGCTAAGGGTCTGGTATCCAGAATATGTAAAGAATTCTTACTACTCAGTACTAAAAAGACAAATAACTCAATTAAAAGATGGGCAAGGGCTTCCCTGGTGGCGCAGTGGTTAAGAATCCACCTGCCAATGCAGGTGACACGGGTTCGAGCCCTGGTCCGGGAAGATCCCACATGCCGCGGAGCTACTAAGCCCGTGCGCCACACCTACTGAGCCTGCGCTCTACAGCCTGCGAGCCCCACTACTGAGCCCGCGTGCTACAGCTACTGAAGCCCGCGCCTAGAGCCAATGCTCCACAACAAGAGAAGCCACTGCAATAAGAAGCCCACGCACTGCAATGAAGAGTAGTCCCCGCTCTCCGCAACTAGAGACAGCCCGCGTGCAGCAAGGAAGACCCCACTGCAGCCAAAAATAAATAAATAAAATAATTTTTTTTTTTAAAAAATGGGCAAAGGCTCTGAATAGAGATTTCTCCAAAGAAGATTTTTGAATGGCCAGTAAGCTCAACATCATGAATCATTAGGGAAATGCAAATCAAAACCACAGTGAGATGCCACTTCACACCCACTAGGATGGCTTGAATCAAAAAGTGTTAGAGAGGATGTAAGAAACTGGAATCCTTACACACTGCTGGTGGGACTGTAAAATGGTACAGCCACTGGGAAACAATCTGGCAAAAATTTAAAAAGTCCTCAAAGAATTAAAAATAGAGTTGCCGGGACTTCTCTGGTGGCACAGTGATTGAGAATCCACCTGCCAATGCAGGGGACACAGGTTCGATCCCTGGTCTGGGAAGATCCCATATGGCACGGAGCAACTAAGCCCGTGCACCACAACTACTGAGCCTGTGCTCTAGAGCCTGCGAGCCACAGCTACTGAGCCCACACGCCGCAACGAATGAAGCCCGTGTGCCTAGAGCCCGTGCTCCGCAACAAGAGAAGCCACCGCAATAAGAAGCCCGCGCACCGCAACGAAGAGTAGCCCCCGCTCACCGGAACTAGAGAAAGCCTGCGCGCAGCAACGAAGACCCAATGCAGCCAAAAAAAAAAAAAAAGAAAAAAAATAAGAGTTGCCATATGACCCAGCAACTCAACTCCTAGGTATCTACCCAACAGAAATGAAAACGTGTCCACAAAGACATCTGCACATAAACGTTCATAGCCGCATTATGCCTACTAGCCAAAAGGTAGAAATAACTCAATGTCCGTCAACTGATGAATTAAGAAGCAAAATGTGGTCCATTCATACAATGGAACAGTAGTCAGCCCTAATAGAATGAGGCATTGACACATGCCACAACATGCACGAACCTTGAAAACAGCATACTAAGTGAAAGAAGCCCAGGCACAAGGGGCCACATATTGTATGATTCCATTTATATGAAATGTCCAGAATGGGCAAATCTATAGAAACGTAAGATTAGTAGTTGCTTAGGACTGGGGCTGTTTAGGAGGTAGGAGACTGATGGCTTAAGGGTATGATGTTTCTTTTTAAGGTGATGCTCTAAAAATGCACAGTGGTGATGGTTACACAACTATGTGAATATACTAAAAACCAGTGAATTGTACTCTTTAAGTGGGTGAATTGTATAATGCATGAATTACGTCTCTAAAACTATCACCCCCCCCAAAAGAATCCCCTTTGGGAAGTTCCCTGGTGATCTGGAGGTTAGGATTTGCCACTTTCACTGCTGGAGCCCAGAGCCTGGCTTCAGTCCCTGGTCAGGGAACTGAGATCCTGCAAGCCGTGCAGTGCATTAAAAAAAAAAAAAAATCCCTTTTGCTCCTGGTTCCCTTGTTCCACTCCATCGCTGTTGACTTCCTTTTGTTTCCTACAGGTGGAATAGCTCTACCACAGGACATTTGCACAAACTGTCCCCTCTGCATAGAATGCTCTTTCCTTCCCCTTGCACCTAGTTAATTCGTCCTCATCCTTCCTCCTTCTCTGGAGGTCACTTCCACAGAGACACTGCCCTGACTAAACCAGACGTTGTGGAGCTGAGAACATCTCCTTTGTAGCACTAAGCACATATGATGTAGTAACAATTTGTGTAATCCTTTGACTGTACTGTCTGTCAGAACTGTGAGCTTCCCAAAGGCAGGGGGCCCCACTGGTGTTTCTTGCCTCTGCAACAACCCTGGGACACAGCAAACGCCCCTCTCCCCTCTGGTTAGCCTGCCCAGCTGGACACCTCTCTGTCCCACCCTTTCAAATAAGGAACTGAAACTGCCCAGAGACAGAAAGATTCCTTCCTCATTCATTACACAAACCTGTCTGACACCCCACAAAGCCCCAAATGAGTGCCAAAACACTGCAAGGATCCCTGGGAGAGGCCCAGGAGACATACACACATGCTGGAACCTTCCAAGATAGAATTCCCAGACTGGGTTTGGGATATAAATGGGAGTGACTAATAGTAGGCTGCCATTTGTCCTCAGACTGGGAAGCATGTTGTTTTTCACTGCAGGACTTCTCAGAGCCTTGAATATGCTAATAATGCTCACTGGGAGCTGCCATGAAGGGGTAAAATAACCTGTGTTTCTCCAACATGTTGCACACAGACCCCCTGTGATATGGCTGTTCCATGAAATATGCTTTGGGAAATGTTTGTGGAAAGCGGGGTTTCTCAATCTTGGCAACACTGACATTTTGGACTGGATAATTCTGTTGTAGGGGGACTGGCCCATGCAGTCTTGCATCCCTGGTCTCTAACCCGTTAGAAGACAGTAGCACCCTCCCAAGTCAATCGAAAATGTCTCGACGTTGCCAAATGTCGTTGACAATGACGTTGAAAACTATTGGTGTAAAGTTTCAGAGGGGGGCACAGCAGACCAGCTTTGTCCCTAACAAAGTCCTGAAGACCCCGAGGAGCCTGGTGTGTTAGCAGGCTGGGCTGGGGCTGGGGCCGGGCTGTGTTGAGCCCAGCAGAGGCTCCCAGATAAGCAGGGGCCCGGGGCCCCTGCAAGGGCCATGGTGTGACCACACTTCCTCAGCCAGTCCCTCAAGTACCTCAAACAGCTGGCACAAAACTTCCTCTGCAGAAAGGAGCCCACCCTGCAATGAGCAGCTCGACGTGGCCACTCAGTCAACTGATCATGTGATATAACAACCACCCTTAAATCAACCATACTCCAATAAAAATTAAAAACAACAATAACCACCCAGCCAGCTAATAGCTGGGCCACCCCCAGCCCCTCCCGCAAGCCCAGGGCTCCTCCCTTGAGCCTGGGGCGGTGCTGTGGTCTCAACGCCTAAGTCATGTCACCCCTACTGTCACCCCCACCCCATCCCCCGACTGGGAGCTGCTGCTCCAACCCTCCCCTGGCCTGTCAAGTTTCTAGATGATTCACCCAAGGTCACACAGGGAGTCAGGGCAGAGTCCGGATTTCACCTTTGGCTTCCTCCCTAACCCTCCTCCTCTGTGCTCCTGGCCTGTGACGTCACAACGGGTCTCAGTTTCCCCGCCTGGAGAATGGACGGATTAGTGGGATGCACAGTTTCCCACACCCGTGTGTCACCAGGAGGCACTGAAATCCAGCTTGTGGGGCTAGTTCCCAGCCTCCAGGTCCAGATTCTGACCTGCACCCGTTTACTAAGTGCCCCCATCCCAGCAGGGACCCAGGAATGAGAAGCAGACAGAGCATCGGAGTATGTTGTAGAGTTGAAAGGTCAGAAAATGGAAGTTGCAGGAAATGCCAGGACAGGGAAGAGAAATGTAGGGGTGGAAGTCCTAGTGTAAAAGGTTCAGGGGTTAGAGGAGAAAGGTCAATATGTCCAGAGGACATGGGGAGGGAGGGCTGTGAGTCAGAGTCATAGGATCCAAAGGTCAGGGGTTGGAAATCATATACTGGGAGGTCTACACCTAAGGTGAAAAGGCAAGGATCAGAGATCAGAGAGAGAGGTCTTGGGTCAAGGCTGCATGATCAGAGTTCAGGGCTCAGCCTCACCTGGTCCCCCTGGCGGGCAATGATGGTGCCGGCTTTGGTGTGATGCAGCAAGACTCGGCTATTCAAAAGGGAGGGGTCCTGGGGAGGAAGGAAAGGGGGTTGAGACTGGCCCAGCCAGGCCTTCCACCCCCAACCTGGTCCCCCAGACACCCTCAGCTGCCCACCTCAATCCGCATCAGCTTGGCCAGCTCTCGCTTTGCCGCCTCAAAGATGCTGCTTGTCTGGCGGCCCTGGTAGGGCCCGAAGGGGCACCCGCCAGTGGCCGACTCATCCTCACAGTAGCTGTATTCACAGGCGCCGGCTGGCTGCTCCCGGGGCTCCTGAGTAGGGGTCTGCGTGGGGCAAGGCCTGTGATCTCCCTGCTCCCACCCGACCTTCCTCCTCGGGGGACTCCACCTGTGGCCAGACCAGGGTCCCAGGAGGGGACTGGGGTGGGGTGGGGGAAGAGGGAAGGGCCTTACCCGGGCCGGGGCTGCCTGGGGACCCCATGAGGCCTCTTCCTGCAGGGACACGGAGATCCGGCCCCGCTCATATGCCATGTCGAAGTCCGAGCGAGGGCCGCCCTGCAAGCCTGCAGTGGGCAGGGGGCAATAAATGCGATAAAGATGAGAGTGACCATAACTGGGGTCTAAGCAAGCACTACCTATGTACCCGAGGCCACGGCTACACAGACATGACTAATCGATCACTGCTCTGGCCCTTGCAACCCTTCTCACCACAGCTGGGAGGGCACCATCTCAACGACTACCCACAACAAAAAGACATGAGTAAGTGCTGCCGATATTCCCATTTCACGGATGAGAAAAATCAAGACTGGCAGGCCTGCATCCAACCCAGAAATTCGATGGCCTCCCCCCACTCCACTTGGTGCCCCAAACCTGAGATGTCCACTGGCATCGAGATGCAGCGACTCAGCAAGGGGGCCGAGGGGGCTTCCAGGGATGTGGGCTTCACTGGGTCCCCTGGGGGAGACGCGTGTTCAGGCTCCTGCCCCTCAGAGTGCCCAGGACTGGGGGTGGGGAGCTGAAGGGGGCCTGGGGAGAGGTCAGCTCAGAGTCCCTGGGGACTGGGGGACTAGGAAGAGTGATTCCAGTGGGCCCAGGGGACTGAGGCCAGGGGTCCTGGGGGATCCAAACAGGAGTCACACCTGGGTACCTAGCTAAGCGGATCCCGGGGGGGCTGGGCAGCTCAGGTGGAAGTATCTGAGGAACTGAGACACGCATTGAGGGGCAGAGCCTGGGCTTCTTGGGAGTGGGCTGGGCCAGCCTACGGTTCCTGGGGGTCAGGCAGGGGTCATCTTGGGTACCTGCAGTTCCAGGCAGTGGGGCCCCGGTGGGGTCAGGCGGCCGGCCAGGCGTCTCCCTCGCCTCCTCAGAAGCAGAGGTGCTGGCTATCCGCTTGGAGCCACGCACAGGGCTGGTGCGGGCTGGGAGGCCCGGGCTGGGGAAGAGGCGCAGGGGCTGGATCTCCTGGGGGCAGAGGGGATCCTGTGGCGTGTCTGGGGAGGCACACGCCGCACACCCCTCCGGCCCCTGGTGCTCTCCACGTAACTCACATGGCTGAAGAGCTCATTGGTCAGACCCAGGTAGTTGTGAAGTGCCAGGAAAGTGACCCGCTGCAGCCTCACCATGATGATCTTTGGGGGCATGGTCATCAGAGGAGGGGGCCAGGGAGAAAGAGGGTTAGCCACAGGACTTAGCACTAAGGGGGTGGGGCCGTGGGTGGGGAGATGGAGATGGAGCTAAGGCCAGGAGATCAAGGTCGGAGCAGGAAGGGGCTGGGCAGGGCCCTAGGAGCCAGGGAGAAACCGACAATCAGGCGGCAGAAACCTGGGGACACGGGGTGGAGGCAGCTCATGGGAGGAGTCAGGGAGGTCCGGCTGCTCAGGGCCGATAAGCACAGCTTCAGTGCCTGTTGGCTGCTGGGTCCCAGCCCCCAGGAGCCTGTGATGGGTGGGGGGTTATGAAAGGAAGTGGATGGCCCGCTGACCTGCACTACCCGCACCAAGCTCTCAGGATACTTGGTGAAGACGGCTGAGAAGGCCTCGACTGGAAGCCGCAGCACCGTGGAGTCTCGGGCCGCCCGAGCGGACACAGTACGCTGCGGGTGCTGGTGACCCTGGGGGTGCCGGGGGGCACAAGGAGAATCAAGGTCAGGGGCTGTGAGAGCCCCCCTTCCTGCTCCCCCCCGACCCCTCCTGATGCCACTGCCTTGAGGGACCACCGGCAACATCAGGGACGCATCAGAGATGGGGGCCCTGGGGGTGACCCTCCCCAACCCAGCCTGGTGGGTGTGGCCTCCCACCCAGCCTCCCCAGCCCCCTCCGTACTGGTCACTCACGGTGATGACATCCAGGATGCTCAGAAGGCTGTTGACACTGTCCCCAGGAACCACTTCCTTCACCACACACTCCTTCCCATCCTGAGACACGGGGTGGGGGAGGCGGGCACTGACCAGGGCTGCCCCTGCCCTGCCAGCCCACGTCCTGCCCCCTGACCACGGCACTGGTCCTCATTCACCCTCGGTGATCACTGACACCCGGACCCCACTGAACCTTCCGACCAGCATCACTAACCATAACCGGTGACTGTGCAGACCATCCCAGATGCCCTTGGACACCCGTTCCCAACTCCTGCCTGCACATCTCATAAGACCACCAACCCTGGGAGTTCCCTGGTGGTCTAGTGGTTAGGATTTGGTGCTTTCGCTGCCGTGGCCCGGGTTCAATCCCTGGTGGGGGAACTAAGATCCCACAAGCTGCGCCTCGCGGCATTGCCAAAATTAAAAAAAAAAAAAAAAAAAAAGCCCACCAACCCTGCTGACCAAAAGCACTGCCTGTCCCCGGTGACCGCTGCACCACTGCTCATCCCTGCCGCCCATCTCACTGTGGTGCCCCCCGGAGGGGGAGCCCACTCACAGGAGCCGGCAGACAGAGCTCCAGCAGCCCATCCTGCACCACGTAGATGCTGGCATCGGGCTGGCCTGGCCGGAAGACGTAGTCACCCTGGCTGAGCCGCTGGAAGACCATGTGCCGGCACAGCTCCAGGAAGAGCGGCTTCTCAAAGTGGCCCAGCACCCTGTTGGATAGGGACCGGGGAATGGAGAGATGCAGGAGGTCAGGTCAGCCCCAGCTCTGCAGCCCCCTGCCTGCACCTTGACACTCACCGGACGTTCTTGAGCATGTAGAGCACCTCGGAGGGCAGGTGGGAGTTGGCCAGGTCGCCCTCGGTCAGGTCAGCCTCTAGCACTGCAGGCGGGGGCTCCTTCCGCTGCAGCGTTGGCGCCTCTTTCTGGATGCGCAGGATCCTGGTGGGAGGCGGGGGGAGCGAGGGGGGGTGAAAAGCAGGGAGGGGACTCAGGAAGACCTGAGACCCCCCACAGAGCCCTTCCCCGGGGTCACCAGAGCAGGGCTCAGCAAACTCTGGCCCACTGGCCAAATTAGGCCAGCCACCTCCTTTTGTAAATAAAGCTTTATTGGCACGAGCTATTAATACATTCATTCATTTACATATTGTCTGAGGCTACTTTAATGCTACAACAGCAGAGTTGAGTCATTGCAGCAGTTGCAGCAGCGTTGTGCGCAGCCTGCAAAGCCCCAGATGTGGCCGAAAAAAAGAGAAAAGTTGCTGACCCCTGAAATAAAACCCTGAGGTCACCCTTCACTAGTCACAGGCTCCCTAGATGAACCCTCTCATTAAGCAGACCCCTGACACAGCTTCCAAGATATGGGCAGACCCCAGAAAAGCACCTCTGTTCATCACGGGACCCCACATATTGCACGCCTCCATCACGTAGCCTCCGTCATGTAGGCAGAGCCTTGGGGTAGCTTCCATTATATCAGGAGACCCCAGATAAAGCCTCTCTGATCCTTGTAAAAATCCCTGAGATAACCCTTCCTCCCCAGTCTCAGACAACCCTCAGATAGCCTCTCTGATGGTCACAGAGACTCTTGAGATAGCCCTGGTTATGTGCAGAGAATCCAGATACAGCCCCTCTGCTAACCATGGACCTAGGAGAGCTCCTCCCTGGAAGTCACAGTTGCAACTGAAGACAGTCCTTCCACTATTCACAAAATGCTCAAGATAGACCCTCTAGAATGAGCTTAAACTGAGTTAAACTCCACATTACAGAGAAATCCAGAAACAGCTCCTCTTCTGATCAGGAAGATCCTTGGGCTAGCCCTCGCCCAGGTCACAGAGAGCTGAGATAGCTCTCTCAAGGCCATGGCAACATCAGGGTAGCTCCTCAAGGGTGTGCAGACACTGAAACCGCTCCCAGGAGGTGGACAGACCCTCAACTAATTGTGGAAGATCTAGAGATAGCCCTTCTACTCAAGTCATAGAAAGCCATGGGATAGCACACCTGTTGACCATGGACACCCCTGGAATGGCCCCTCAGTGTGAAGAAACACTTGAGACAGACCTTCAAAATAGAGTCTGTGATGTCAGGAGACCCTAGAGCCAGCTCCCAACTTGGAAAGATCCCTGAGAGAGCCTTTCTTAGAGACCCTGAGGGAGCCCTTTGCTGATGACATGCCCTGACATGCCCTTCCCGTGTCTCTAGTGCCAAACGATTCTTGAGATGACTCCTAGGAAACAGAACCCCCTAACACAGCCTCTGTGTAGTTTGGGGAAAATCCAAGGGAGGTGACATAGAGAGATGCTTTCTGATGCAGAGAGATTGCTGAGATAACCCCTAGGGAACAAAAGCCAGAGACAGCCCCTCCTGCAGGTCCCAGAGAGACTCTGGAATAAACCCTCTCGTGTGGGGAGACCCCAGATTTGACCCCTAAGGGTATGACAAGACATCCGAGATAGTGCCTGGGGATTAAATAACTCACGGATGCCCCTGTGGCAGGGAACATCACTGAGAGAGCCTTCAGGTGATACAGACAGCCTGTCTGGTTGGGGAGAGCTCTGAAATAGTCCCACTGACATGGCAAGAGTCCTAAGACAGTCCGTGGGGTTCAAAGAAGCCCGAGATACACCCTTCGGTGTGGGATGATCACTCAAAAAGCCCTGGACAGCCCCGAGTACACCTAGCACAGCCTTACTTCTTAGCAATGTTGAGCATCTTAAGTTTCTTCTTCATGCGTGGCCGGGAAGTGGTGGAGACGGAGGCGTCCACCAGCGAAGAAGTGGATTGTGATACCTGGGAGGATTAAGGGTGGGGTGGGGTGGGAGGAATGCGTCAACTGCCAGTTCAGACCCTAGGGAAGAGGGGGGCAGATCCAGAGGCCCTTGATCAAGGAGGGCGGCCGGCTTACGAAGAAGTGTAATTAGGGAAAGGGCGGGATCTCTGTGTGGCCAGTGGGAGCCCCAGGGGGTCCCAGACTCACCTTCCGCATAATCTTCCGGCCATAGAAAAGCACTTTATCTCTCTTCCGGAATCGATACCGCGGGCCATCCGGGGCTGGAGTTTCTGGGGGTAAGTGCGGAGAGGGGCAATCTGACCTCTACGCACACTCCGCACGGCCAGAGATAGGGACGCTGCGTGCAGGCTCCAGCAAATCCCATCTCTACTGCCTCAGGGGCCCGGACATTTCAGCTTCCCATCCCTCAGCACCCCCAGAAGGCCCTCCGGGTCCTCACTCGGCACTCGAAGCCTCCGCACCAGCAGGAGGATGAGCACGGCCGTGACCAGCACCGCGACTCCAGCCCCGATCATCACGCCCAGCACCTGCGGGACGAACGGCACTGGCTGCGCATCGCATACCCGCTCCGCCAAGCCTTCCCCGGGGGCCGGGACGTCCGGGACCTCATCCCACGGAGCCAAGGCCGCCCCCGAGATCGCAGTCGGCCCGGGCCTCGACGCCCCCATCTGCAAAATGGGCCAGCGCTGCTCCCTCCCCTGGGGAGCAACGCTTTCTGGAGGCTCGGCGGCCCGCAGTGCACACCGGGAAACGTAGTTCCGCCTGAACAGACGCAGACTGGTTCTCGCGGGGCCGCGATAATGCGTGCTGAGCACGTCGGGAATTGTAGTCCCCGCGGCGCCACACGAACCCCCAACCCTTACCATTCCGGTTTGCAGCGGCGCCTCCATCAGTTGTTTCAGGCTGGGCGGCAGGTCTGGTAGTTCAGACTCCTGGGGAGTAAGAAGCAGGACGAACCCGGGCAAGTCATCACTCTGGGCCCGCCCCTCCCCTGCTGCAAGCCCTGCCCGCTTCGTACCCACTGCCGGGGCGGCTTCTCCGCAGGCCTGTGGGCGACTGAAGGGGCGCTGCGGAGCAGAGGGGTGGGGCAAATTGACCTCGGGGCCCGAGCTAGGGAGTAAGGTGGGTCCCCGGGTCCCCACCAGGCTCCCCTTACCTACGCACCAGGCCGACCTGATGCCCCACTTATCCAGACCCACCCTGGGGCCAAAGGGCAGCCGGCCGGGCACCCACTGTTAGCAGCCAGCGAACAAGTCCCTGAAGGGGCACGGCTCTCTCCAGCAGGTGGCCCCCTCCCCAGTCTCTGAAGGATTGATCAATCCTGATCTACCGATCCCTAGGTCGCACCCCAGCACCCCTTGCGAAGACTGGATGCCCGCACCCCACGAAAACTGGGCCCCGGGGAGACAAGAGACTGGGGCACGCGGGAGTGCAGCCGGGAGCGCCTTCACAAGGGGTCGTGGTGCAATGCCGAGGTCTCAGTAGCATCCTGGGACGCTCGGAGTGGGGTGGGCTCGCAAAGTGTTACTGGGTGATGCTGGAGATTTACTGTCACGTAATAGTAAAGTTATGGGATCTCTGATGGTGCGGAGCACCACTGGGATTCCAGGAACGATGCTGGCGCCACTGCTGGGAGACGTAACCAGGGACGCTGGAATTACGGGTGGGTGGGTGGAGGCTCACTAGGAAGTTTCCGAGAAATTCTGAGGACTATAGGACTATTACTGGGAAAACCGAGAGCTGGCTGGGCACGTCCCTGCAGTCGTCCGAGCATGATACTGAGGAATGCTGGAATATTACTGAGACTTTTCTGGGAGGCTGAGGCTGTTTCTGGCGCCATTCGAGTATTAATGGAAATCTGGGGGAGTCACTGGGTCCTTGAGACATTACCTGTAAAATTCACGGGGGACTAGTCCCCTTCCACCCGAGGGTGCACCTGGCTACCGGTGCGAAAACACCTGCCGGAGGCTGGGGGGGTGGGGGGGATGGGAGAGTTAGAAAGTCGAGAGCTACCGGGAATCGGCGGAAGACACACCTTGGGAAAGCCGAGGGCTCGCTAACAACCCGCGAAGGGACGGGGCGAAGAAAACCCGGACTCACCCAAAGGGCCGCAGCCGGGGTCCACTCTGCGCCAACTCCGTTAGCGTTCTGCCCGGCGCCGCAGGCGCGGCCCCTTTAAGTTATTCACCTCTGGGTGCGGCACAGCCCCGCCCCCCGCCATGCTTGGAAGGTCGCGCGGAGCCAGCCACACTCAGTGTGGCGACGCTTTAAAGGGACCGGAGACCAGTTGGCGCAGGGAATACCCCTCCCGATAGAAATGAGAGCAAGTTAATTTTCCCGTTTATTTACCACCCACTCTAACCGTCCCTGTCCCACCCCAATGTCCGACCCGACTAGCCCAGGCCCTCACAGGGCGCGACAAGGAGCCGGTCCTTAAAAAGCGAAGGCTAAAATAAATAAGCATGGGTCTCCGCAGTCCGGGGGCTAATGTCCTATGACGGTCCGGGTCCGAGTCAATTCACCAGCAACGAATGCTCCTCCGAAGCGTCCCTGGAGGAGGGTCGGTGTCAGCGGAGGCGGAAGGCATCAGTTCCCTCAGGCCCGCTTCCCTTCCCCCAGCCAATCCCAAACCCAAGCCAACCCGGCCTCCAACCTGCCGCAGCAGCAGAGGAAGCTGCAGACGGAGCCGCTCCCACGGCGGAATTTGCCGGAGGTGGGGCTGTCTTGGCACTGCGCGATGTAGGCCTGGAGCTCGCTCTCCTCTCCGCCCGCTCCGCCCGGATGCTGGGGAGAGGTGCCCGGCGGCCCGGCATGAAAGTGGCCTCTGACTTCCGAGGCCCTTGAGATGCGCCCTCCCCTCCCCCTCCTCCCCCCTTCTCTCCAGTCATCTGGATCTTCTCACCGGTCCTTGTGGACCAACCAGGCTCCCACCTCGGGGCCTCTGCACCGTGCTGTGCCCTCCACCTGCTGTTCCTCGTGGTTTGCTTCACCCGGAGACATTCCCTGACCACTGAATGTGTGCACACCCTGAATCTTGGTCAGTTGGTGCCCTCCGCTGTGGCTCCAGCGCCTCGAGCCGTGCCTGACCCCATCTGGGTGCTTGACAACCACCCACTTGTGGGGGCGGCGAGCGGGCGGGGTGCAGACATCTGCATTCCCAGCAGCAGTGAATGTTCTGGCTTTTAGCCTTGTCTTCATCTCTCCCAACCTCACAGGGCCAGTATCTCCTCTCCAAGTCCTTTCTGGCTCTAGGTCTTTGCTTTGGCTGTTCCTTCTCCCTGGTGCTCTCTCTTGGGCTCCTGTCTCATCGATCCAGAACTTCCTGAGATGATGGAAAGGTGTGACACCTATGCTGTCCAAATCTGGTAGCTGCTAGCCACATTGGCTTTTGGGCGCTTGCTCTGTGGATGGTGTGAGTGAGGAACTGAATTTGGAATTGTATTTCATTTTCATACTAGAGACTACTATTGGACAGCACATTCTAGAAACGTTCCTGGACTCAGCCCGATACGAGTCTAAAGCAGGGGCCTCTCTGTAACCTTCCATACTTCCTTTACACCTCTCATCAGCTGGCTGTTATACTCCCGTTTGTGAATCATTCATCCCGCCCATCAGTCTTGGACAGACCATGTATGTTTCCTCAGATGCCTGGCACCCAGCACCAGGCTTGGCACGCAGTAGGCTGTCACACGTGTTTGCTAAAAGATCCTGTCTACCTGCCGCGCCCATGTTCTGCTCTGACCCTTGCAGCCTGCAGGACAACCACCCTTCCCCAGACCCACAGGACAGAGGGGTTGGGAGCGGGGCTTCTGGAATGAGACAGTCGTAGGTTGAGCTGGGTTCCACCATGTGCTTGGTAGCTGACCTTGGGCGAGTCACTGAAATTCTATGGCTTAGTTTCCCTGTCGGTGAAAGCAGACGCAGGAACCCTACCTGGCCCGAGCCCCCACACCTTGATAAAACTGAGAGTGTGGCAGCTGTGACCGGGACGGCATGGGTCCCTCCTGGGCCCCCCAATTCCGAGCCACCCTCTCCTTTGGCCTCGTAGCATCTCCCGCATTCTCCCCCTGGGTCCTCCTCTGCGCACCCCGCCGTGGCCAACCACGAGGGACTCAGAGCCCAAGTCTGGGGCCGTGCACGGACGCATGCATGCACAGCCCCACGGGGGGGCAGGGGAAGGCGGGCGGCCGGGCAGCTGACCTTGATGGTGTCGTAGGCGCCGGTGATGAGTGCGATGAAGAGGCTGAGCACCATGTAGATGAACAGGCTGACGAAGGAGTACAGGTAGAGCTGGGAGAACAGCCAGACCAGGCTGCTGCGGCCCTGCTGCGCCTGCATCGCCGCGAACGTCACGAACATGTCATCCCCGTTGATGAGCGAGAAAAGGCACTCGGACACCATGGACAGCGAGCGGAACTGCCGGCGGGCAGGGGGGTCAGGGGTCAGAGGGAGTTGTGGGCATGGCCGGGGGCCGGGGTTGGGGGCTTTGTGGGGTCAGAGGGGACAGCGTACAGAGTACCAGTAGTCACGATAGAGCCACTTGGGGGGGGTCACTGAATAATGACAACGTCATAGAGTCAAGGCTAGGGTCACCGGGGATCAGAGGGGATGGTGGGTAGAACTGCTGCAAACTTGCTGGTAAGGAACCAGGGGTCAAGGTGGGTCATTCAGTGTCACCAAGTCAACAACAGATAGACCAGGAGTCAGGGGGCTTGGGAAGTAAGATGGGGAGCCAAGGATCCCTCATCTGTGGGTCACAAGCGCCACCCACAGGTCCCGGCCAGCACCTACCTTCACATGGTAGGGTCCCAACACAATCCAGCCGCAGAAGCAATAGCCCAGGTAGATGACGGCCACACAGCAGCAGAAGCGCATGACGCTGGGCAGGGCCACCCGCAGCGTGGCAATAAGGATCTGCGGAGGGGTGGGGGTTGGGGTCGGGGGAGGGTGGGGGTGTGTGTCAGCAATGGGGGCGGGACCACAAGCCAGGTGGGCCGTGAGCCTGCAGATGGGGTGAAGCCTGCCCAAGGGCATGATGGGGTGACCACAGAAACTGGGATGACCATCGACAAGGCAGGGTGGTGCTGAGTAGGCCCGAGGGCACCCCCTGGCTGGACTCAGATCGGGGGAGGAGTATGAAAGAGCAGGCTCATGTGACCCCTGCCCAGGTGGAATGACAGGTGTGCCTGGTGTGGGCAGGTATGGGGAAGAGGCTCCTGGCAGGTCATCTGCAGGGGCTGGTGATGGCAATACGTGTACGAATTTATCTGGGGGTGGGGGTGGCAATTAAAGGACGTGTGGCCGCCCCTGGGAGGGCCCCGCCTGCATGTCGGAGGCTTACGTTGTACTTGTGGAAGAAGGTCAGGTAGCGGATGACACCGACCCAGACGAGCAGCGTCGAGGTGCCCAGGAGGATGCTGCAGACGTCATAGCTTGCCAGGTTCTAGGGGCAGAAGCAGCGTCAACCCCATCCAGCCTGGCCCTTCCCTGGGGATGGGGCCCCGGGCAGGCATCAGCAGGGGTGGGAGAGGGGTCCAGGGTCTGGAAGGAGACCCCGGGGCTCGGGGGCAGGGCGTGGGCAGGACCCACCTTGGCTTCGATGCCAATCTTCATGATGGTGCCTGAGATGGTGAGCACGTCGCTGGTGACCAGCAGGATGTACCAGCCGTTGACAAATTCCAGCCGCTCCCACAGGCTGATGACCTGTCCCCGCTGCCGCCACATGAACCTGACAAACTCCTGCAGGGGGAGGTGGGCGGGG